GTACATGGACTATTCAATACTAGTTCGTAGACAGTGGATAGGATTAAATGAAGCTATGCATTAAATAAAAAAAATTAAAAAAAAAAAAGCTTGATACATGCCTGGGCATATAGTATGCACTCAGTCGAGGTTAAATACTATCTTGATTAGCCTCATCTAACCCAGCACTATCGTACAGTGGGTGAACTGGCAATACAGGCAGGAGTGAGACCAAGTTTGTTTGGGATGAAGGCCTATTTTCCAGAGGCAGAAACACATGCACTGGTCGGCAAGGACTTTGGAGTTCCTGACTGCCAGGGACGCGGGGTGCTCAGCCCGCTGGCCCCTGGAGCCCAACTGGTTGACGCAGCAGTCACCCGCGCTTGGTCCACGCGCCCCACAATTCCGGATTCCTGGGTCTGTCTGAAGGAAGTACGAAAAAGAGGGGCAGCCCAGAGAGAGGTGACCTGGAGAGCCGAGATCAGATGACTTGGGGCAGGTGGGTTCTGAGTGGAGATGCAAAGCAAGAGTCGAGAGTGCAGAGTGGTACCTGGGAATTTGCGTGGTCTTCAGCAGGAGAATGGTGAGTGCTGTGGGCGGGTGGGGAGCGAAGTAGGAAAGGGGCGGGGCAGGAGGTGGGGACAGGCCTGGGGGTTCCGGGCGCCCTCTTTTGGTCACAAACTACCACTAGGCTCGTCCGCACCTTAACCCTTGGTTCTTCTCCAACCGAACCTGTTTCCCCAAGCCCGCCCCCACCCCCATGTGCCCCAAGAGCCAGGTTGAAGATCTTGAAACCCTCAGCTGTCTGCCCCACACGGAAGTGGCCTGCCTTGAGGAGGAAATCTATTCCTGGTATCCTTGCTGTCCGCCCCCCTAAACCGCCCTCACCCCGAGTCAGGACAGTCCAGGACGAGCTGTGCACCTGTCATGAAGCTGACATCCTACATATCAGCATGGAAGGCTCCGCCAAAGTTCAGCCAGGTGGCATGGGAGTATTTTCCGAGCCTATAGAATGGGTCTGGTTAATGCCAACTTTGGCAGAGTACCAACAAGTAGTGAACCTTTTGCGCCCTTCATGGCCTCCCTACCCCGGAGCCTGGTTGCAACACAGAAGCCTGAACCTGGGGTAGACCAGATGTTGATCACAGGTTGCCAAACAATAATAGGTGTCCCCCTAAGGCTCTGACCCGGCAGGGGAATGGAGCTAGTAAAGAAAGTGCTTGGGCAGAAGCCTGGAGCTGCTGCATAACAGTAACATCATCTGGCATTTACACTAGGAGACCTCGGTGCCAGGAGGCCTCGGTGTTCCGAGGCTTGACCTGCCCTTAAGTCCTACGACATCCCCATGCGGTGAGTCCTATCTTAAACTCCATTTTGCAAACAAAACGATAAAAAGTGAAGAACCCGGTGGCTGTCCACAGGCTCTCAGGCCTCAGGCCAATAACAATTCCGAAAATCTGGGCCGGGAAAGGCGGGCCTCGGGGCCTTAGGGCACCGCCCCAAATCTTCCTTCGGTAACCAGGCAAAGCCTGCAGCTGCGTACTGCACTGCGCAAGCGCGCAGGGGTGGCCCGCCTTAGGCCGGCTGGTTACCAAGCCGGAGGCCGTACCAGATTCGCCGGGCTGTGTGGCTGTTGGCTCCGCCTCGGCCGGGCCCCGCCTCACCGGATCCCGCCTCGTCACCCCTGTTAGCGCGGTGAGTGTCTCCCGGGAAGGAGGTCCTCAGGTTGTCCGGGGACCGGCCATCCTTGTCCCCGCCGCTTGGGGCAGAGTCCTTCGGAAGGCGCAAGCGCCGGGCAGCACGTGCTGTGTGCGCGCGCGCGCGTGTCTGCGTGTGCATTCCTGAGTGTCTGGGTTTTCTCTTCGCTTTTGCCGAGGGTGGGGTGTGGTGTGGTGTGGTGGGGTGGGGTGTTCACGGGTCTGCCTGCTTGCTTGTATGTCTCTTTTCTGTATTTATGTCTGCATCTGACTCTGTATTTCTCAAGGTTTGTGTGTGCCCCTCTGCTGGTGCGTTTCTTCTCATGCCTGCCCCCCCGCCCCCCCCCAGGTCCTTGCTTGCTAGGTAGTTTTTCTTTCCCTGGGTCTTTGGGAACGTGCAGGAGGTCTGAGAACAACTTGCTGGAGTCCGTTCATCTTTCACCTTGTGAGTTCCAGGTATTAAAGTCAGATTGTCAGACTTGGCAGCAAGTGCCTTTACCTGTAACCCTGTCCCTTTTAATATGTTATGGGGGGGCGGGGCGAACGCATTCAATAGGGTGTGTATGGAGGTCAGAGCTCAGTTTGGGGAATTATTTCTTTCCTCTCTATGGGTCCTGGACATTGAACTCAGGATGTCTGGCTTGTCTGCAAGGGCCTTTACCCACTGAGCCATCACACGAGCCCCTATTTATTTTAATTCAGGGTCTCACTACATTGCCCAGGAAGGTCTTGAACATCCAGAGCTCCTGAGTTTGGGCACTTTTTGTCTGTTTTTGTTGTTATTGTTGTTGCTGGTTTTTTGTTTTGGGTTTTTGTTGTTCTTTTTGTTTGTGACAGGGTCTTACTCTGTAGCTCTAGCTCTCCAATTTGCATGGATCCCCCCTCTCCTTGAGTACTACACTCTGAGGCCAGGACTGTGTGTTTATGTGTGCTTTAAGGGTTGGGTATGATTTTGTGCTTGAATATTCCAAGGGTCTGCATGTGGTTTTGTGGGTGTTTGATTTTGTTTGTTTGCTTACTTTGAGACAGGGTCTTACCAAGCAGCCCAGCTGGCCTCAACCTATAATCCTCCTGTCTCAGTCTCTCTAGCTTCCGCCCCTGTGTATAGGTTGGATTTTTTGTTCTGTTTTTGTTTTTTGAAAGGGTGTCTCTCTATGTAACCCTTTCTGATCTGGAACTCCCTATGTAGTTAAGGCTGACCTCAAACTCACAGAGATCCTCCTGCCTCTGCATCCTGAGTGCTGCAATTAAAGCTTTAGGTTTGTATATATATGGTCTTGAAATACATGTGTCTCTGCCTTCCCAATAACTGATGTTGTGCCCAGTTCGTGACCCCCAGAGAGACCACTGAGGATGTACCAGAATGCAAAAGCAAGGTTTATTTCCTCTACAAGTTGAGTCAGGGAACTCATCTCAAGCACTCATTGGCCGCAGCGCAGCTAGGCAGGAAGGAGTTACTCTTTCTTGGGGAAGTTAGTTTTTATAGGCAAAACCCACAAAATTTCTTAGAGGGGAGGGGGTTAGTTCGGGTCTATCCTTGATTGGTCCAGTTTTTCCCGGGCCTGGACTTTGTCTTATTCTAGCTTATCTGTTTGCCCTGTCAGGAGTTTTACAACCCATCTCCAGGGTCTGGTCATGTTATCTCTGGAGAGGGGCATCTCTTGGTTACAGTCACTACCAGACATCCTGACTTTGTTCTTTTGAAAACATGACTTCACCCTCTCCAGGAAGGGGGAACTGACTCGGTTCTGTTTATTTTAAGCTATCTCTTTCCTCAGCTCTTTTGGGTTTCTGGGGGAACTGTGTCTGGGCCTTTGGTGGGGGTCTTTCACTGACTGTTGTGTGATAAAACTTTTCCTGGGGAGATGAAACACACTTGTCTACTCACCCCAGATAGGGAGCCATGGCGGACCAAAGTGTGGATCCCACCCAAGCCCAACTTGGTGAGCCAATGAGCTTTATTGGGGTTACTTAACAGGAATATGGATAAGGGGTTTCTTATAGGACTCACAGACAGCTACATCACCAAAGCCCACCCCAGCATGGGTGACCGTTCACAAAAGCAGGGAAACGTGGAACACACTGCACAGCCTACAGGCAGCTCAGCAGGTTGGATGGAGAGTGTCCTTTCCAAGGCACTCAGTCTAAAACCCTTCCAGGCAGTTCACCTGGTTTCCACTTCTTCAGAGACCTGCTCTGGTCTGAGTCTTCTTTGCAGCTTACCTTTGTTTAGTCAGAAGAGTCTCACCCTTTATTGTTTACTCGGGTAGGGAGGAGCCTAGTGAATCAGGTCAGTTTCAGGGAGTTTTGTTTTGTTTTTAGATGTATTTATTTATTATGTATACAGTGTTCTGCCTGCGTGAATGCCTGCAGGCCAGAAGGAGAAGACACCAGATCTCATTACAGATGGTTGTGAGCCACCTTGTGGTTGCTGGGAATTGAACTCAGACCCTTTGGAAGGACAAGCAGTGCTCTTAACCTCTGAGCCATCTCGCTAGCCCTTCAGGGAGTTCTTGGAGCTAATTTTTGGCTGTTTACCTCCCTGCTCATGGAGCTCCCCTGCAGCATGGAGTGTTCTGACCTGAGAGGAGACTGATAACACAACTGTGCATGTGATTCTGTGGATGTTCCTGTAAGAGATTGACTGTGCATAGGCCAATGTGTGTGCAAAGAGGCTGCTGTACATTTAGGGAATAACTTCTTGAAACGTGTGGAAGCAAGACACTTGTCTCCATATGAGTATGTATACATCTGTGTGTCACGGTAGAGAGGCCTTCCAGTAAACAAAGCAAGCACAGTTTACGCCTCTCCTCCTCCACCTGCCCAGCAATCTGCATCAGAACCCCTTCACCCTGAAAGAAGCACAGGTTGTCCCTAACTAAGAGGGGTCCTTCACAGATGCTCCGCCCCGTGGGGACCTGAGCTAAAGCTGCGTTGGAGGCAGACATCCTTGGCTGCTCCAGGTTAGGAAGAAGAGCGTGCTCTTCTCCGCCTGGGTCCTGATTTTCCATCAGCACTGGAGGATCTGCTGCTGCCCACACACTGCCTGACTTCGGAGCTAGAGAGTGAGATTTCCAGAAGAATTCCACAGAGTCAGCAGAGGTGGGTGTGAACCAATGCAGGCTGCAGCTCCTAGGCCTACCACAGACTCAATTTACACTCAATACAAAAACCTCCAGAGCCAGGCAGTGGTGGTGCATGCCTTTAGTGCCATCTCTTGGGAGTCAGAGGCAGGTGGATTTCTGTAAGTTTGAGGCCAGCCTGGTCTACAGAGTGAGTTCCAGGACAGCCAGGGCTACATAGAGAAACCTGTCTCGGAAAAAAACAAAACAAGAACGCATCCAGAATCCTAGAAACAAGACAAGCATGTTCATCTTAGGCCCAATAAATGATGATAGGGATAGCGCATTCCCCGCTTGCTTAGGTGGATTGTAGTATGTAAATTGCACAAGACGCTTGGTCAAGTCCCAGGAGCTTATCCCGAGTTACCAAACTCAACTCTCGGCAGAGGGGAATTCTCAAACCAAGACCACCGGCTCTGCTTGAGTCTCCCTCCGGGGCTAACAGAGGCACCATACTGGAGGAGTTCATGAAGCAGATCATTCGGCAGAAGTGGGGGGAAAGCTGCCCTCCTCCCAGCCCCCCGGGATCTCAGACCTCAGCGTTATCCCCAACATTCTCCGTGAACTGGCTTGTAATGGCTGGTGTGACCATGAAATAGGTCCCCCTGTTGTACAGGGCATTCTGTTTTCAGCAGTGTTCTAGTCATTGTGAGGAAAGAGAACTGTTTCCAGGCATGCCTTCAGTGGAGGTCTCCTCTTTGCACACGTTGAGCTTGATCGGTGTCCTGCAGCCACCACTGAGTCTCCAGTTCATCCAGCTCCTGCCAGAATGAACACACAGTTCATCCATCTTCTTCCAGAACACACGTGGCCTGGTATTTTGGAAACTAGCCCCAGGTCCCAGGTCCCTTGCTTCTGCTGCGGTGGAGAATTCACCCGTGAGCCTGTATTCTTTCGTGCCAGAGAACTACGGTCATATGTGCTCCCTGTGTTTTCTTGTGGCCTCCGAGTGCTTAATGCAGAGGTCAGGCCTGAAGGCAGCGGCCAGAAGAGCTGGTGTAGTTAACACCGCAATGATGGTGACCACTACACATGCCTGTGCCAGAGGGACACCTATGTACTTCTCCACATAGCGAAGTGTCCCAGGCCTTTGCCCGGGCCTGAGGAGTAGTTGAGTATGAGCAACCAGATAGTCATGGTTCAAGAGAAGGGAGGAGGGCTGGAGGTCTTCCTCAGCCTCTTGCTCCCCTTTATCTCTTCCAGGCTGTGTGGCACAGACCTTCATGAGCCGGTACCAGGCAACCCTGCTGGGGCTCGGCCTGCTGCTCATGCTTCTCCTGTATGTGGGGCTGCCTGGCCTGCCTGAGCAGACTTCCCAGCTCTGGAGGGGCCCCAATGTCACAGTCCTGGCTGGTCTCACCCAAGGCAACTCTCAGATATTTTACCGTGAGGCGTTGCCTATCCAGCCAGCACACAGGTGAGTGATCACCCAAGGGCTTAGTGGAGGGACCCCAGTCCAACTCCACTAAAGTTCAGTGGGGCTCAGGAGCCTGGAGGGCAGCGAAAGATGCCCGGGAAGAAAGGATGGTGGCTGCCCGGGTCCCATGCCATGTGTTTCCCCCATGTGTCTGCAGGGTGCAGGTGGTGTTTCTCCATGGGAAGGCGTTTAATTCCCACATATGGGAGCAGCTGGGCACACTGCAGCTGCTATCTAAGAGGGGCTACCGGGCTGTGGCCATTGACCTTCCAGGTGAGTACCCCCACAGTCAAGTTCAGAGAAAGTAGGCTGAAGCAGGAACAAAGGAGCATTTGCCAGAAGGGAGAATTTAGTTAGCAAAGCCCTAAGGTAAAACAGGACCATGTGGGCCCCTGTGTTCAGACAAACCAGTTGCAGGTCATAAGAAGGCATCACAATAAAAGCCTAATTTTATTTTCTACCTTGAAAAACCACAGTGTGAGTTATTGTATGTCACAGAGAAAACAGAAAAGCGATTCATTTCATGAGCAACCACTGGGGGGATTTCTTTTCTTTTTTTTTTTTTTTTTTACAATATATTTATTTATTTATTTAGAGTAAAACCAAAACTTATTCTAAGCCACAGTCATCCTAGGTCCCACTGGGGGGATTCCACTGTGCTTTTTGTGACTGTGTGATTTTTGTGGCTTTTTTTCTCTCTCTAAATTTTGGGGGCACACCTGTGGAAGTCAGCAGATAACAGCAGAGAATTGGTTCTCTCCTTCCACCCTGTGGGTTCCAGGGATCAAACTCAGATTGTCAGACTTGGTATCGAGCCCCTTTCCTGCTCACTGAACAACATGTCCTTGTTCTGCCCTGTTTTTAACGGTACACATGGACTATGCTACCCTCTGGGTTAGCTGTTGTTTCCAGTAATGTGGATCAAACCCAGGACCTCAAGAATGCTAGGCAGGTACTCAACCACTAAGCTACACCTCCAGCCTCGTGCTATCATTCTTCTAATTAAAAATGAAAGTGGGGGTGGGGTTTGGGGGGGTGGCCCAGGGACTAGAAAGATGGCCCAGCAGGAGCTGATCCTTAGAGGATTTGAGTTTGTTTCCTAATACCCATGTCAGGCGTCTCATAACCTGTAACTCAGCTCCGGGGGATCCAATGCCTTCTTCTGGACTCTGCGGGAACCTGAATTCATGCGCACAAACCTACATACGGAAATATGCATATAAATTAAAAATAAAATCTTTTTTGGGGGGGACAAGGTTTCTCTGTGTAACAGCCCTGACTGTCCTGAAACTTGCTTTGTAGACCAGGCTGGTCTCAAACTCATAAAGATTCTCCTGCCTCTACCTCCTGAGTGTTGAGATTAAAGGCCTGTACCCAGCTAAATCAATATGCCAGGCACAGTGGCACACACCTTTAATTCCAGCCCTCAGGGGGGCAGAGGCAGGTGGATCTCTGTGAGTTTGAGGCCATCCTAGTCTACAGAGGGAGATACAGGACAGCCAGGACTATTACAAACCCTGTCTCCAAAAAAAAAAAAAAAAAGACATAAAAAGAGAAGTCCAGAAGCCAATAACACTTCTCTCCCCTCCCCACAGCTGAGAGTGACATCCCCACTTTCAAGCTGTTCCATGCATGGAGACACACACAGGTGGGCCTGGTCGTACAGACTTGTAATCCCTGCTACTCAGGAGGCTGAGGCAGGAGGATCCCAGATTCAAGGCCTGCCTCGACTACAGAGTGAATTCAGGGGTAGCCTGGCAACTTAGTAGAGACCCTGTCTTAAAATAAAAAGTAAGAAAGGCCTGAAAATATAATTCAATGGTAGAGTCCTTGCCTAGCATATGCAAGGCCCTGAGCTCAACCTGCCTATACAGAGAGAGACTGAGACAGACACACGCACACATACACAGAGAGAGACAGTGGCAGAGAGAGAGGCTGACAACATGCAGGTTGTATGTGGGGGTTGGGAGCATGAGCATTCTGCCTACTTAATGAATGTATTTACACCTTTATTTTCCTGGCTACACCATGACTTGTGGGTCAAGCCAGATCCTGCACACCTCCTCTGCTGTCAGTGCTGCTGTGTGGGCCATGGGAGGCATGGGCAGGCTGCTGTGTGGGCCATGGGAGGCGTGGGCAGGCTGCTGTGTG